ATCTGGGAAGAAAAAGGCTGGATGGGTTAAACTCATCCATCATTAGTCTGGAAAAATATTAAAAAATTCCGATGTTCAGTTTTGGCCTCTGAAAACACAATTTCTAATGATCAGTCTTATTGGCTTGAAAATTTTGCTAGTAATTTTGCTCCTCCTTCAGTACCATCTTACAATGAAAGTATAGTATTTCAATCACAGTCCTTGCACTATCAACACAGCTTTGACTCCCCTTTCTCTTATGAGGAGTTATATGCTGTTCTTAGTGTCCTTAAAGACTCTTCACCAGGAATTGATGGAATTCCTTATTCTTTTATTACTAATAGCAGTGAATCTACTAAAGCCCATCTTCTTTCTGTTTTAAATTGTATTTACATGTCCGGTATTCCTCCTGAAGAATGGAAATCCCAAGTTATTTTACCTATTTACAAACCAGGTAAGCCTCACACTGATCCCTCAAGCTACCACCCTATTGCTCTTTCTTGTACCATGGCTAAAATTCTTGAACACCTAATAAAAAATCGTCTAGAATGGTTTCTTGAAAGCAAAAACCTTCTAGCAAAAAGCCAATTTGGATTCCGAAAGGGCTTAAGCACCATGGATAGCCTTAGTACTCTAGTTACTGATATTCGTATAGCTTACTCTAAACATGAATACCTTGTTGGTGTCTTTCTAGATATCTCGTCTGCATATGATAATGTACTTCTTCCTGTGCTCAGGCAAAAAATGCTTAATCTGAGTATTCCAGTGAGGATAGTAAATTTTGTCTCTAACTTTCTCTCTTCTAGATCCATTTATATTGATAGTCAAAATTCTCTACTCCCGCCAAGAATTGTATGGAAGGGTCTCCCACAAGGCTCAGTACTTAGTCCCTTGCTCTATTCTATCTATACTTATGATCTAGAACTTTCTGTTAACTCATTCTGTAACATCCTCCAATATGCAGACGATATAGCTATATATATTTCCTTTGATAACCTTGCTACAGCTTGTTCCCGCTTGAATCTATCAATGTCCTATTTACAAGATTGGTTAACTGATCATGGTTTGTCCTTGTCTGTTCCCAAAAGCAGTGTTGTCATCTTCTCTCGTCATAGGCAACTCCCTGAAATCGATATTCTCTTTAATAACGAACCTATCCCTATTAGGGAGAATGTAAAATTTTTGGGAGTTATTCTTGACTCCAAACTAACCTTTTCTCATCATATCAACTATGTCTCAAAAAAATGTGAAAAAAATATAAATATTCTTTGCACGTTATCGGGAGTTTGGTGGGGCTCCCATCCATTCTCTCAAAAAATATTGTACAACGCCCTTATTCGTAGTCATTTGGATTATGCGTGCTTTGTCTTGGAACCATGTAATAAGTCTTCCCTAAAGATCCTAGACAGGATTCAGACGAAAAGCGTTCGTATAATCATTGGGGCAATGAAATCTTCCCCAATAAATGCTCTCCAAGTCGAATGTGTAGATCCCCCTCTTTACCTAAGAAGACAATATCTTTCGGACCGATTCTTTTTTAAAATCTATCAACTCTCTTCACATCCTCTCATTTCTAAATTACACCTTCTTTTGGAATATATTTCAACAAAGCATTACTGGACTCATAAAGAATCTCCCTGCTTATCCAACAGTTTGGTAACATTACTCCATCTACCACACCCAGTATCACAATGCAAGTCCTGTCCCATCTTTGATATCCCATATGATGCAATTATTTTCCAACCAAATATCCACCTCGACCTTGGTATTGAGAAAGATTGCCCTATAGCAAATAGTAAACTAAGTAGAGTCATAGATAATTTATGGAAAGGCTGGCTTATTATATACACTGATGCCTCCAAAAAGTCAGGTGAAAGTTGCACTGGAGCAGCAGTTTGGATTCCCAGATACAAAATAATCCTCAATTTTAAATGCCCTTCTATTTCTTCCACTTTTACTGGCGAGGCCACGGCAGTAAAAGTCGTGATTTATATAGTCTTGATTTATATAGAAGCACACAACTTAAATAAGTCAGTTATTCTTACCGACTCCAAAAGCTGTTTGTTAGCAATTTTGTCAAACCAATTCCAAAGTAAATATAAGTTACCCTTGATCCTCAAAATTAAACACACATTGTATAGATGTCATCTCAAGGGCATTCAGGTTTCCTTAGCTTGGATTCCAGGTCATAGTGGCATTAAGGGCAATGAAACAGCTGACCTGATGGCTAAAAATGCAAGTCAAAATGGTTTGCCATGTAATTTAATTTACTCTTCAGACATAGTGTTACTTGCAAAGAAGTTAAGTAATAATTGGAACACATTATGGAAAGCCACTCAAAATATAAAAGGTAAACACTATGCTGCTATACAATGTGCCATCCCTCCAAAACCATGGTTTTTCAAATTTAATAAAGCTAACAAACAGTCAACATCAACTATTTGTAGACTTAGAATTGGCCATGCTTGTACTCCAGTACATTTAGCCAAACTGAGGATTAGGGATAGTTCCCTCTGCGAATGTGGGTTAGATGAGGGAACCTCTGACCATATTTTTTTTAACTGTCCTAAATTATCTTGTTCACTCAATGATCATCTCCCTCCTGACATCCCTCGTCCTATAAATTTTGATTCACTTTTAACTTACACAAATACTCCTTATGTATATATTCTGTGCGATTTTATTAACACTAATAGTATAAAAGTTTAATGTTTGTCAATACTAATATACTAATGTAGTTATAGCAACTGTGTTTGTCATTTGTTCTAGGTAATTCAACAGTATAACCACTAGTATTACAAGATAAAAAGGGAAAATTTAATTGTTTAAAGAAAATAAGATACTTGTATTATCACAATCTTCTTTAGTACATGGGCATAGTATTTGTAACTACTGAGCTTGTACTCAATAAACACTTCCACACTGACATTGGCGAATAATTAAAAACCGCCATAAAAAAAGAAAGAAGAACTTGCTATTCTATCTTCTCAGAGCCAAAGTGTAAAGTAATATATACACCTCAGAGCTTTGTTTGTGTTAATTATTGTTTTGTATCGTGTTGAGTTCACAGACAGAATACTTTTACTCCTAGCGAAGACTACTCCTGGTCTAGTTGTTATTAATTCGTCGTACTAGTAGTATCGGATTCTCTTGGTGTATTCTGTGATCCCTATCTGTTATTTCAACGGAACCCGCACACCATATCCAACATATATTTTGGATAAATAACAAGTGACAAGTAAAATATGGTAAGTAGTTCCACTAGGTACTATAGTACGCTTTTTATACCAGACTAGATTAAGCAATAAAATTAATGTGCGTTTTCATTTTAGGAGCTGAAAACACCACGCTCAAGAGTGCCTAATTTCACCAGCGATGAAAAGGCCCTGTTAGCAGCCCTAATAAAGAGTAAACCAATTGTGGAGTCGAAAGCAACTGACGGCAAGTCAGTTGAAAAAAAGAAAGGTGCATATACTTACACTTTCTTTTATCGTTTTATAAGCTATTGGGATCATTGGTTCCTATAAATTACTATTATGATGTGTTGTTTGTTACTTGTTATGCTCTTGTACCTTGGTAAATGAAAACAATATTTACTTCCAGCGTGATACTGTTAATTTAAAGAGGGCATGGGATAACATGAAGGCTTTTACACGTAAAGCTCGTGCAGCTGAATGTGGTAGTTTATTTAAAACTGGAGGAAGTCCTGTAAAACCTCCTCTGCCACCACACCGAGGAGCCATTATAAGCATGGTAGAAGAAGTAGGTATAATTATAAATTTTGTTTTTAATATAAAGCTGAAGCAGCTTTTTAATAACTTTTTTTTAGGCAGCACCTGTTATAATTTGTGAAGTGAAAAATTCATTTGACAGTGATGGATGCCTATTAAGTTCACTTGAAGAGGAGGAAGTAAAATCCAGTGATTGCAAAATAGGTATGTTATGTTAAATTATAAGTTTATATTATTAAAAAAATATGAGCTATATCATGTAAACATTTGATTTGAATGATTTCAGATGATAATGAACCAAATAAATATCATCTTGCAGAGTCTGAAAAAACGCTCACCGCTGAATTTCCAATTCAAGTTATAAATAACATAGGTAATACATATAAAGAAAAAACTTCCTTTCTATAGATAATATGTAAAATACTGTTTGTGTGTATTTTACATGTTTTAATATATATTTTTTCATCAGGAACTCAAGACGAACAAAACATTCCATTTAGCCCAACTGATTGTATACCTCGAAAGCCTGCAGATTATATAAGAAGAGAAGGTGTTTTATGAATAAAAAATTTGGAAGTAAAAAAACGACTGGAGGCAAAGATATTAAATTCAAAGGTTCTTCCTTTAATACATTATATATAATAATTTATTAGCTACCAATTTACAGCAAACTCACATCGGGTTATTATTTTAGTTTGTTAGTTTTATTTTAGGTTATTTTCTTTTTATATAGTTTTAATTGATAATTTTATCTGGAAATAAATAAAAAGTTAAATTTAAATGTATAACAATAGCTCCATTAAATAAATGATAGCATATTACTATCAGATCCCTGCAGCTAAATTATAGTTGCAGTATGAATGTGTCAGCTTGACCGGGGAAGGACCACACTCTCACAGAATACCAGCGTAAAATAGCAGATTAATGTTGCTGTGTTTCGTATGGTGAGTGTAGAGAACCGAAGACCCTTTTCACTGGAAACAAGGCATTCCATCTTAGTCCTCACTGGTGACAACACATCTGAATTTTGATCTTAATGAAGATAAATGTAAATGTTTATAGGCCACAGTATCCACTTACCATCAGCTGGACTATGTGCTTGTTTGTCACACCCATTCTATAAAATAAAAGTTGTTTCAATAACTAACTATAAACTAATATATATATTATTTTCTTTGACAGTTGGCTACTCAAGAAATAAAACAACAGGCAGCAGAACTAGAATTACAGACAAATAAAATTCTTTTGGAAAAAGCTACATTGGAATTGAATATTTAAAAAAAAAACAGTTTACAAAATAAAACAATTAAAATACAATACAATACAATAAAAAAATCTATTGACAACAGATTGTCTGACCAAGAAACCATTACTGTTGGGGTTTTCTTGTACAGGAACATTATCGATGTTACTGATTAATATATTGTCATCAGTGTCATCAGTAGAAGGCATCATGACATCATCTAACATTTTTGATATATTATGCAGTGTGGCACATGCACATATCACTGCCACAACGGTTTCCTTTTTGACCCCCATTCCCATCTGGAGACAAGGAAACCTCCGTTTCCAAATTCCAAAGGTCCTCTCAACAGTATTCCATGTTTTAATATGATAATTATTATACATTTCTTGTCCAATACTATTAGGTGACAAAAATGGTGTTAGGCACACACTGCTGACTGCATATCCACTGTCTCCAAGTAGCATACCCTGTCCTTGTAAATCTCCAATGTTTAAACTTTGTTTGACAGAACTGCTATTATATATAAAGCTGTCATGTGTGCTACCTGGCCAACGTGCAACCAAATCAAAAAATTCTAAATTAGGTCTTGTTACTGCCTGTACATTGATTGAAAAAAAACCCTTTCTGTTTCTATACACTTCAGAAGACATTCCACCAGGACTTCTTATTTTAATATGTGTACAGTCAATACATCTTATCACTCCAGGAAATTGTGCCACTTCAAAAAACTTTTGTCTGCAAGAAATATTCAGAAGTTTAGTATGTTACTATTAAAAGTATGTTGAATGTAGAATACGTATAATATTTATTAATGTCTATTAACATGTTTATATCATGAACATACTTTACTTGATTGATATCTTCCACTGTAGATGGAAATTTTACAAACATTTTCATTTGTAATGCTATTGAATTAGACACAGTAGTTATGATTCTTGATACTGACTGTTGGCATATATTCATGACATCCCCATCTAGTTTCTGAAAAACATGAAACCAGGTAAGTACCTACTTGCATAAGTGATAGATTTATTTAATTCAGTCACAGTATCCTGTGTGACTTGCTATAACATCATTTTACAGTGAGGTTTGCAGATATTGTGATCGAGTTGTGCAGCAATAATTTATAAGAGGTACCCAATATTAAAGGTGTCCTATAGCACACAGTTTTTTACTTACTTGGAAACTCCCAGTAGCATAGTATCTCAACGTAACGAGAATCATTATTTCTGGAGCAAACGGCAGACCTTTGTTGCTAGGTTTTTTTAAATGTGGTTCTAGCATTGGCATTATGGTATTTTTTTATTGCTTGGGGGGTAAAGCGATATCGTGAGTAAAATTCTAGAAAAGTATATTTCTGAAATGGATCCGAATAATCACGCAAATACCGTCTTGGTCCTGGTTCTCTAAATCTTCTTGCGTAATCCACAAAATCAACAAACTCTTCATAATCTGACATTTTCTAAAAATATTACAATTTGATCTAAACAAATCCTTGAAAATAACCACGGAATGACACACATAACCTCACAAGTTGACCTTTCAAAATCATTCATTACGAAGTTAAGCAAGGGTAGAGCGTTACTTAAAGTTAACGGTTCCTTAGGCCTACTAATGAACCATTAACCCACTCTGAGAGTCAACTTTTTTAAATCTTTACTTAGTGACGGCTAAGTAATCATTAAACGTCTCTGAGTGCGGCGGTAAGGCACAAGCAACTATGGCAAAAGTCTTATGAATATTAATTTAAGCCAATGACGGCTAATAATTTTCTGCTCACCAGATGTCGCTAGCTGACACCGAGGTAAAGTTTTATGTTACACAATATCATTTAATTAAGAAATTAGTTTTTAATAAAAGTTTATCAGCTTCTAGAGTATTATATAATACACAAAAAAAATGCTTCAGTGGTTTGGTCTTAAAGTTTTTGCACATTTTTAATTTATTTTTATTTTTCTACTTTTATAAATATCTGTGGTTTGGTTTATTTATTATTAATCTTATTAATATAAAATATAGCTAATAGTACAGAAACAAACAATAACATTTACATTTTCCGAACAAATAAACATAACCGCTGAGCAATCTGTCAAATATTATACCTCACTTTTAAGTGGCGCCGCCCTGGTGGCAGAAAAAGTTGTGGATGTCCTCATTGCCCTATGAATATAATATATATATATATATATTTTTTTATAGGAGAGGGGGCAAACGAGCATGCGGCTCACCTGATGGTAAGTGACTACCGCCGCCCATGAACAACTGCAACACCAGGGGAATTGCAGATGCGTTGCCGGCCTTTTAAAAAGGAGTATGCTCTTTTCTTGAAGGTCCCTAAGTCGTATCGGTCCGGAAAAATCGCTGATGGTAATCGATTCCACAAGGAAGTCGTGCGAGGAAGAAAACATCTTCTAAATCGCACAGTGGTGGACCGCCAATCATCCAGATGGTGAGGATGGTATCGGGAGTTCTGCCGCGATGTGCGTTCGTGAAATTTGGCGGCTGGGATTAATCCGAACAATTCCTCAGAGCACTCCCCATGGTAGATGCGAAAGAAAATGCAAAGGGATGCAACATCTCTTCGCAGTGCCAATGAATCGAGCCGATCGGAAAGGGCTCGGTCGTCGACGATTCGAGCCGCTCTGCGTTGGATGCGGTCAAGTGGAAGGAGCTGGCACTGGGGAGCCCCTGCCCAGAGATGGGAACAGTATTCCATGTGAGGCCGAACCTGCGCCTTGTAAAGTTGCAGGCGGTGTGCCGGCATGAACTACTGTCCCGCTCTGCTGAGCACGCCAAGCTCTTTAGAGGCCAATTTGGCCTTCTCTTCCAAGTGACCACGAAACTGCACGTCACTCGATATGTCGACTCCGAGGATACCGATACTGGCTGAGGCAAGAAGGGGAGTGCCTTGAAACTGAGGAGATACGACAAATGGGTTCTTTTTAGCGGTAAACGCGCAAACTTTTGTCTTCTGAGGATTAAACTGGACTAGATTTAGTCGCCCCCAATCAGAGACATTGGTCAGCAAAGACTCGACTTCAGACACAAGTTTGTAGTATAGTATAATGTATGGCAATGCAACTATGGAAAACCCTATGAGGCAATCTGCATCAAAGAATTTGCCATGGTTACCATGTTCAGTAGGCAGGTTGGCAGCTTTTTATATAGGATAAGGGTGACAAACGAGCACACAGTCCACCTGATGTTAACTGGTGGCTATGGCCTATAGACATCTACATCTATCTTCGATTACGAATCAAAATGCAGATGCGTTATCACCCGTGCGGACTAAGTTGGAATGCCTCGTTTCCAGTAAAAAGGTTCTCCAGTTCTCTATACTCACCATACGAAACACAGCAGCGTTAAGCTTCTATTTTACGTTGGTATTCTGTGAGAGCGTGGCGCTTCCCTGGTCGAGCCAACCCATTTGTGCTACAACTATACCAGTAATATAGAGGTAGCATGTCTCTACCGCGTAAAAAAACATTTCATGCAATTTTTTCAATCATTTTAAGCCTTTATCGAAAAGATACTGCTGCTAAAGTACTGTTTTATTTTCTTCTGTCGTCTCTTACAGTACCTACGGAATGATATGGGGCAGTAGTTTCTCTTATACCGTAACTACACGGCCATATTTTTGCCATTAACAATCACATAAACGCAAAATATATTTTATTTTAAATAATATACTCACCCCCCGAATAATAGGTAAATTAAGTACGGATCCAAAAACAGGAACCATTCGGAGGAAATTCACAGCCGCAGGCAGGAAACCTCTGCGAATATTTTTTTTTTTTAATTTAAGTAAAGAAAATGTATTTCTTTAATATTTTATCTGTGTGTTTTATCTGTGTGTTTTATCTGTGGTTTTATCTGTATTTGTGGAGTGTAAATAGAATCTGTGAAAGAATGTATTTACTGTTCAACAACGATAAGCCGCCTGTGGAATATTATAATTTAAGTTTATTAAAAACAGAATTGTTACAAAGGGAATTGACATATTAAGGAATGAACTTTAAATGTCGTTTCTTTGTTTACAGGTAGGAGTTTTGGTTATTTTTTTAATAGTGTAGTTTGGTAATTGAACTTAGAATTAATGAAATATAACTTTGTTTACAAAGCAACACAACATAGTCTATTTTAGTCAATCCTAAAAACAAGATATCTAACATCTTATATATATTTAAAGTTTTCATAAAAGTATGGATGACAAGGCACCACACTGTCCACCTAATGGTAAATTACAAGAAAAGAACACTAACTTCAAATCCGAAATTCATGTTCTAGAAAAGTACAAGCTATGTGCACCGCCTTCGCACAGGTAATTTCTGGATTTCGAGAACAGCGCCACCTACCGGCTCCAATTATGAATCTAAGCCATTCTTTTTTTTTTATAGAATAAGGATGACAAACGAGCACTCAGTCCACCTGATCGTAAGTGGTTGCTGCGGCCCATAGACATCTACATCTATCTTCGTTTGCGAATTAAAATGCAGATGCGTTGTCAGCCGTGAGGACTAAGATTGAATGCCTCTTTTCCAGTAAAAAGGGTCTCCGGTTCTCTACACTCACCATACGAAACACAGCAGCATTAAGCTGCTATTATACGCTGGTATTCTGTGAGAGCGTGGTCCTTCCCCGGTCGAGCCGACCAATTCGTGCTACAACTATACTATTAATATAGCTGCAGCATGGCTCTACCACGTATAAAAAATTCTCTAATCAACGTAATCACAAACACAAAATTTCATCAAAATCGGTAGAGCCGTTTAGGAGGAATTTAGTCGCATACAAACAGACAGAAAATTATGTATATAAAGATTTCCATACGATACTACTACTAGCTTGCCTGGCGGATATTCTGCTCTTTCTGGTTGGTGGTGCGAGTTTTAATCTGAATATAGTCCATACTTGTTAGTATAAGCTAGATAACACCTCGACATATACAATGTGTAACAAAAACCGTGTTTCCGTTTAAGGCGCAGGTTGAGCAAAATGTCGCGCTAGTCGTTATTTGTGCGGTTTTTAGGAGCTATCTACTTTTTATTTAAAAGATATATTAACAAATAAAAAACACATTATATTTCTACATAATCTTGATTTCATAAGAGTATAGAGAATATTTAGACGTCACCCTTGACACGAGGCTCACTTTCAGGCCCCACGTCAAAAGAGTAACCCGTCACGCACGTTTTTACCTGAGTAGGCTCAACAGTATGTTGGGTCGACACTAGACATGCGCAAAACGGTACCCGAAGAAGTGATGCAACATCACACATCACTTTTGTTAGAGTGATATCACTTTGTGATATTACCATCACCCTAAACATCACTCGAGATTTTGGCATTACAGGCAACTGAGTACCGACAATAGTACTGGTATCTATCGATCACATTCGACGGACAACACTCGTATCACTTGAGAAGTAATGCAACAAAACAAGTTTTAAGTAATTATTGTGAATATCGTATCGAACATTCTTTTTGAGCAAATAAGTTTTATGTGTGTGTATGTAACTATTATTTATTCTGTGATATCGTGTAGTGTAGTAGTAGGTAGGTAGGTAGGTATATACGTACAGTAGGTATGTATGTGTGTATAGTACACGGACCGCAATAGGTATGTTATGCAGTTGAGTATATTTATGCATATTTAATCACGAGTGGAAAGTTGATTTTCCTTCATACTTAGGCCCACGAACGAACGAAATTAAATTATATTATATTATATATTAAATTATACTTCGTCTTTAATTAAATAGTTTTAAGATGAAAAAAAGTTTTAGTAATACAATACCTACTGTACGTAATAATTAATTACGACCACCAGTTAATTCCGAATTTACTATCTCTCGTAACTAACGTACGTACGCGTGCAATTACTATTTAGTAAAATACAACACTGACATCTGACCTGACTTAGACGTGGGCGTTATTTCACGTCACTAGATACAATAACTGGCTACGCGGCATGTAACCGAATCACTAGTTTCGACCCTTATTACAAGTAGTGATTTTTGTAAATGCGTTATTACTATTTACTGTTAACTGTGATTCTTACGACCGTCGGTAATGGTCGGTAGGTCGAGCGCAAAGCGCACATGTGGCATACAACAATAAACAAAACAGCGTATGTAACAGTATTATTGTACGTTTAATTTTCATACGTAAGACTACAGTAAATAGATAATAAAATAGAGTGATCTCTGTTTGTAAATAATTTCAACGGTTTACGATTCTGGGAAGCTCAAACCATTGAAATTAAATTCAATTTAAGTAAAATA